CGCTGGCCCTCCTCCCCGGCCGCCTGCGGCTCCTGAAGCGCTTCCAGGGAGCAATCAGCCCCCGGTGTGAAGTGCTCTCAGCTGCCTGTCTTTCTGGGATTGTTCAAGTCTTCCCCCAACACCGTCCTCCCTTCCAAAGATGCCAGCTGAGACCCTTCGGCGCCCAGGCCCCTGCCGTGCGTCCCCGCGGGGAGCCGGAGATGCCGTTCGTGGTGGGACACCTGCGTCTGCGGGGTGGTGATGACAGATCCCTCCTGCGGAAGGGGCATGGTGGTGGCACTGGTCGTGGGGGTCCCAGGGTCCTGGTTGCAGCCAGCGGGCAGCCCAGGCTCTCCTTGTGGCCACCAGACCTGGCTGGGAGGGGGACGGAGCTCCTGCATGGAGCCTGGGGTTCAAACACAGCAGCTGCCTCGGGGGTCCCGTCCTTCTGTCAGGGGGGACACCCTGGGGAGGGGAGGCCGTGAGAGGGGACGGTGCTGCCTTGCTGATGGCACCGCTCTCCTTCGCCCCGGGGAGGGGGGAGTTGGGCCACGTGCCCCCCGACCAGCCTGCGCGCCTGACTCCGGTCTGTCTCCCCCAGGTACCTCTCAGCCACGAGTGCACTCGCGCCATCATGAAGCTGCTGTACTGCCCGCACTGCCGGGGCATGGCCAGCGTGAAGCCGTGCAACAACTACTGCCTGAACGTCGTGAAGGGCTGCCTGGCCAACCAAGCCGACCTGAGCACCGAGTGGAAGTACCTCATGGGTAAGGTGGCCTTCCTCGGCACCACGCCGCTGGAACTCTCTGGGGCAGCGTGTGCCAAGTAAAGAATCACAGAATCACAGCATGGTGGGGTTGGAAGGGACCTCTGTGGGTCACCCAGCCCAACCCCCTGCCCAAGCAGGGTCACCCAGAGCAGGCTGTAGAGGCCCTTGTCCAGGCGGGGGCGGTGTAGAGGACCTTGTCCAGGCGGGGCTGGAATATCTCCAGAGAAGGAGACTCCACAGCCTCCCTGGGCAGCCTGGGCCAGGGCTCCGTCACCCTTCGAGGCAGGGCACACGTGCTGAAGACACACAATGTTAGGAGGCTTAGGGCCAAGTATTGGTTAATATTTCTACACCAGTTTTCCATTTTTCCTTTCTGTAGCACCCCAGGAAGTGTTGGTCGGTTTGTGGTTGCACGTACCGTCTGCAGGAGGTGACCTCTGTCCCTCTGCTGCCAAGGGTGGCTTCACCGACGTGCTGGGAAGGGACAGCTGTCCCGTGCCAGAGGAGCACGAGCATGCCCCTGGGCAGCAGCGAACATGGAGCGACGTCTCCCAGCAAGCCCACCGAGGGGCCAGCAGCTCATCCCGCCCGGCAGGAGGGTGAGCTTTAGCTGGGGTGGTACGGAGTCTGACGAGAGGTGTCTCTGTCTTCTTCTACTAGATTCCCTGGTGGTAGTGGCCGATCGGATCGACGGACCGTACAACGTAGACACCGTGATAGGGACCATTCACATGAGGATCGCTGAAGCCATTTCAAACTTGCAAGAAAACAAAGACTCGATCACAGCCAAGGTAGGTGAGGGTACACCGTGTGCAGCTGCCAGGACCAAATGCTCACTGTGCTCGCTGTTCGGCTGAACTGAAGGAGGTGAGGGATGGCAGAGACCAAATGCCCACTCTTAATGACAGGAAGCCACCCACCTCACACAGCCAAAAACCTTCTCGAGCATTTCCAAATATTCCCCCCCCTGCCACATCCCACCAGCCTCCTTTAGTACGGACGCGCAGGGTGGGACTGCGTAGGCAGCGACTGCGGGAGGCATGGTGCCCTTCGCTGTCGGGTCCTCCATGTCGGAAGAGTCCTCAAGGGTTTTGGCTGAGCTGAGGCGTTGATGGAAAGCGCACGGTCCCTAGTGACGGAAGGTGGAAACCTTGGCCGATCACGTCGTGTCTGCGGGACAGAGCTGCAATCTGGCAGTCTGTCTGGAGAGCATAAGACAGGCTCTCCTGGTGCTCACCTGTCTTCCAAGAAGCGCATCATGAAGCTCTTGTCTACTGGCCTTCTACTTTCAGTATATTTATCCACATAGCCACAGTCACCTCTGTAGCTGCAGGTAAGAGAAGCTTTGGGAACAAAACCAGCCCTCCAGGGCTTCTGCTTTTTGCCCAGACATTCCCCAAGTCCTGCAGCTGTCCCACAGATGGGGCAGATGAAAGGAGCGGGGCGGGTCCCAACTGGGTCTTGGAGAAAGGAAGGGCCAGGAGTATGGCTTAGCCGAGCACACGTCAAAGCGCTGACAGCAGCGTGCGTCCAAGTACTCGTTTAGGTTTCTTTTCTGACATGAAAGGCCATGTTCTTCCTTCCTTTGTTAGGTGAGACTGAGGTTAAGGCCATGTTCTTTCTTCCTTTGTTAGGTGAGACTGAGGTTGTCCACTTAAAAGCAAGCCCATGACGTGGGAAAGCGTGGAATCGTGTGCAAAGAAGGGTGTAGTAAATCTGGTAAAATGAAAAGGAGTAAATAGTCTACTAGGTGTTTGACAGGAGCAACCAAACACGTTTGGTAAGCTTCTCAGTATGGTCTGGTGACCAGGTGAACGTGGCAGTCTTTGGTCTCCGTCAGTAATGGGTGTTGGTCACCTAAAGCCCCTGGGCTGGCAAGAGGATTGCTTTGATACCACGCTGCGCTGAAGCTGCTACAAGAGCCACTGTCCTGGAGACCTCACAGAATCCCAGCATGGCAGGGGTTGGCAGGGACCTCTGTGGGTCACCCAGTCCAACCCCCTGCCGAAGCAGGGTCACCCAGAGCAGGCAAGACCTCGCAGGGCTTTTACCTCCTGACAGCGTGGTCTCCTGCTAACGACAGTAGAAGGCCGATAAAGGTACAGTGGTGAAACCAAATTGGTTTTACTTCGGCAGAACCAAGTTGACAATGTTCTACGTGCGGTTTTCAAGGTGGGGCTTTTTGCACGGAGCGAAGGAGACAGACGAAGAAACTGGCTTGGTGCTGAACTGCCACGGTGGTTGGACCCATCTGGTCAGCAGGACAGTGCAGCCCAGGAGGGGGCTTTCTAGGCTGAATGTCCCTCAGACACACCAATGAGACCCGCTGGCACCGAAGGGACCCTTGGCTAGGTTAGGGCTTTGCTGGTGGCTGTCAGAATCCGCTGATTCAGCAGAAGTCAGCAGTGATCCTCCCCGAGGTCTTGATTTCTCTGCTTTGAGGAGACACAGTGCAAAGTCGGATTCATCGATAGCTTCTGGCAGCACCCTGGTAGCCACAGCAAGCTGGAGGCCATCTTCTCAGATCAGATGGCTTGCTTTGTGAAGGCTGGGGTTTCCTGAACCAGCCTGACGGCGCGAAGGCCCCCCTCACCTTCAACACGTTATTAAATCTGGCTGTCTGGGCTGGTCGCGCAGAGACTGGGAGAAACAGGCGCTTCCAGGGCACCCCTCGTCTCCTCCTGGAGGCAAACTCCGAGGATTTCTACCTTCAAAGTGCTTCTGCTCTCCTTTGGCTACAAACCGTACCTGGGCAGGTACTTAGGATGGCGGGAGGTGCGTGAAGTGAGGGGGTAAGTGGGTTCGGCTTCCTCATTTGCCCCTGAAACTGTCCCCTGCTCGGAGGTGACATTCGTCTGCTGAAGCGTGGCTGCCGATGGCAGGAGTCCTTGGGCTGGTCCCACCTCGGTCTGCTGTCCAAATCAACAAAGCTCACACGCTCTGCACTCTTGAAGCGCGCACCGCGGGTGTCAGGAGTGTGAGCAACCCCCATCTTGCTCTTCCCAGAATTTTATTTTTCAGTCAGAACAGGAACAGGTAAAATGGCTAGAAGGGATTTAATATTGACATTGGGGATTGGTCCCAACGCATGTGCTGATCTTGTGTTGGTGCTGAACATCTTGCGTGGTAGCAGTGACCAAAACCAGTTACAGTGTGCGGAAAACATGTCCTGGCACAAGAGTAATCTGGCCAGAAACTAAGCCAGAATCTTGGAGATCTTGGAAAGATAAGCATACTTAAGATGAAGAATAAAAATTTAACATAACTGTGGAGTGCTAATTAATTAAAGAAATAGCATCAAAACATGGGATAGAGAGTTTGGTTCGTTTTTCAGGTTTTCCAAGGCTGTGGAAATCCCAAAATCAGCACAAAGGGCTCCAGCAGCGAGGACAAGAAGAGGCGGGGGAAGGTTGCGTTGGAAGCGAAA